ACTACCCTAATTTCATGCGAGATGCTATTTAGTTCCATCCCAAAACGGAAACGATCAAAACGGCTATGCGGATGGTATCCCTTAACCTCTAACCAGTTTACCCGTGGCTAAATGCATTCGCGAAGCTGGTTCGTATTCATGAACGAGGTCGGGTGTCCCGTGTACAAGTAGAGCATCGCGTAAATGGCGTTGAAATTATGATTCCACACTCCCGCGTAAAAAGGGACAACGGCAACGACGTTCAGGGGCGAAACTTCTGCTATCGCGAATACACGAATATGTGATCATCCCAGTGAAAATATTCCAAGCTCGCGGGAGTGCTAGAAAAAGGGAAGACATCGGATCGTCTGAAATAACGGATCCTCTAACCATTCCGCAATTGTCGAATTTGCATACGATTATGGCCTTTACGAGCGAAACGAATTCAAATTAATTCATCGAAACTATTTTTTGCTCGCGTGCTTTTTGCGCGAGGCGCACGGGAAATTACGCCGGGAAAATGATATTAGCGCTGAATTGACGCAATTAAAATGCAAAGCGCGAGTCGCGGCCTCTAAATGAGATACAAATAAACGATGCCGCGGGCACGAGATGGAAGGGGGTGCCAAAAGAGAAATTGCGTTCGCTATTCGGCGCGTATAAATTTCGTCCAGCTTTTCGTCAAGCTTCGGACCTCGTAAGAAGAAAATTGAAGAGACGTATAAGCCACGCGGTGAATATAGATGTGCGTTAATGCGGTATGCGTAATGATGAGAAAATTGCTGGTAAACGCCGAGGCAACGGTGTACGTGTATGTATGTATAGGTACGTTGTAGATGCGCGCATACGTGGCCCCTTGACGCGCGTATGGCCAGCTCGAGTGCCATTATGGACTGATATACGAGCGTCATAGTCACGCTTGCTCGCGTGATGTTAAAAACCAGCACCCTTTCACGCGACACGGTTCCTTCAGATATTGCAAGCTTTTTGCAAATCTAATACAAGTTTATATTAAAGATTTGGCTGTAGCAACTTATAAAGCAATATGATCGTAATGTATGCATTAATCACTTTCACAGATTAGAAATTTATCTCTTTTTTCCTCTCAAGCAAGTGACATTAATACATATTTGTATGAGCACAGTTTATCAAGAATGCAGAACGGAATTAGCTGTTTGCATGTTATTCGAAAGTTCGAACGCCGATAAAGAGAGGCTCTGTAGTACGTGCACCTAATCAGAAAGTTTGAAGGGCTGAATGTTAATGTCGAGCAAGCTCCAATGTTAATCGCGAGCAAACTCTCGAGACTCGAACGCGAACAAACAATCGAAACTTCGCGAGTTTCAAAGATATTTAAACTGCGTGAGAAAGCTCGAAAGCTTGCGTAGCGAGGAGAGTCGGTGAAAAAGGTGAAAAACCGATAAACAATTTGGTACATCGCAACGATGAAAAGCTCTAGTAATCCTGTAAAAATAAAATCTGGTACATAAAAGAGGAGGGGGTTTCGTGATGGAACGAATGTAAGAAATAAATCTTAAAGATTTTCTATCAATTCGAAGGTTTAGAACGGTGGATCGGAAGTAGAGATCCGAAATAAAAACGGCGCGATGGGAAGAGCGAAATCCCGTCGAAGCGACAAGCTCCATCAGTCTACCCAGCAGTACCCCGTTTACTTCGGTCGGCTTGTGGATGCCGTTCGAATATTCCTGATTGCTTTTATCCGCTTATCGATGCACAAATCCCAACATTTATCGTGCCCGTTCGGGCACGCTCCACATCGAAAGTTAACCGCATTCCCAAGGCAATCGCCACCTCCGCCACAATTCCCGTTATACCAAATTTCCATGTAACGATCGACTTATCCCCTAAAGAATTTCCATAAATTTCTCCAGTAAAAATCTGATCATCGCTGACGTGTAAACCAGATTTCTCTTCCCGACCATCTGATATTTCAGTATTCTTATTCAATCCAGCTTCGATTTTCAGTTAATCTAATAATATCGGAATTGCTTTTAACCAGATATTCATCACATTAAGCGATTCCTGCTGGGATAAAATATATAACAGCTGATAACTACATCAATTTTTCTTATATCTGTATAATTACGCTATACTTTTTTATATCGCTCTAACTATTCTTAACATTCTGGCAATAATTAGCTGCGCTGTAAGAAGAATCGTTATCGATATTTCCAACATTACTATAAAAGCTCTGTATGATCGAACGGTGTCGTTCCTGCTTTGTTCTCGCGTTACTTTCTCTTTTACGTTATTTTTATCAAGCTTCATTTTGCTCGTTCCGACTAACCTGTTTCGCCGCGGCGATTACTCGACTTCGTGGCCGGCTCGATGAAACGCAATGTGCCGTGCTCGCCGAGCTTTCGCTCCGTGGCAGGGCCTTCTTCGTGTGTTTTTTCCTCGTCCGCGCGATACCCCCGTCACGGGGATGATCGATCTCCAACGAGCTCTCGGATCCGGAGTTCATGGTCGAAAAGTTTTCAACGATTGACTCGATACCGCTCGGCCGCGTCGAAGAAAATATCAGTTCTTAACAAAAGAAATGTAGTCGTTGCGTTAATTATGAAAATTACCTCGTTTCATAGCAATCGCAGTTTTTCCAGTTACAAATATTGAACAGAGATATTGAACTTATATTCGCACAAATCGTAGGATGACTGTTATCGAAATAGAGCGAATAATCTGAAATCTAGAAAAACCATCGAAGAGAAATAACCATTCGGCGATAGCGCGGTGTAACGTTGTTTTCAAATCGTTTTTTTTTTTTTCTGCGAAACTACATTTCCAAATCGGTTTTCTTTCTCTCTCCGCGAGCCTACAATTAAAAGAACTTTAATTGCATCCTCCCTTCCCTGTCGCCGGGGCAAACACGCAGTTTTCAAACGCGTAGAAACTGGGAAAGAGGCAGCGAGTGGCGTCGCGCATGACCGCAGTTTTTGACGCGATAAAAATGACAAAGTGGGTAGATTCGCGCGTATATTCCAGCGAAACGAATCACCGTCGTTTCCGTTCTACGAAAACGTAACCCACTTCGCCGACTAATTTATTACTCGTAATTTCGAAATAATGGTACCACCGGTTTCGGTGCTCGCTCCGCTCGTTAAAATTCTTAATAGTAGCAGTGCGATTCAAAATTCGCCGCGCCACGGTCAGTTCCAAGCTGTTGAACGTAATTATCAGATGAAAGGGTTTCCCGATTCGCGGAACGAATCGAGAGGGCTCGGCGATCTGAAATTACGCCGATCGAAGTCGGTTTGTCAAAGCGTTTGAACGGTTCGAGGGGGTGGCAGCCGTTGCGTCGACTCGATATACTTTGCGAACAGAGGGCAAAAGCCAAGCAAGCTCCAGCGAGTTTCCCGTTTCATCCAATTATCGACTGTCGTCGACGTTGCGTGTTCCCCTCGGGCTTTGCGTTGCCAGAGATTGCATCTGATCGTTACTAAATATCTTTGCAAAGACTTCCCCCTTTTGCTGGCCGCACAACCGCCGTGTGCGGTCTTGCTCGCTAATACATTTTCCAAACTTCGCTGACTTACGTCTGCTCAAAGGAACCGAAGGGACGGGGGAAAGAAGGTGGAAACTGTTTGGAAAATAACGGCTTTACGGGCTCTCAGTATCGGAATTGAATTACTCACGTTTTTAAGTTACCCTCGCAGTTCTCGCTGCCTTTTGGCTCTGGCTTTACCTTCGGTTTATTAAGTTTACAAGTTTCCAGCCGCGTGCTACGTTTAAAAGACTTTACTTGCTTGACGAGCAACAGTCGAACCGCTCTCTCCTCTCCCTGGTGAATATTAAAAACTTCGGATCAAGTTTCTCAATGTTCAGATAGAAAACTAAAGGACTATGTACGTCTATAGGTGTTAAAAAATAATGCCAAGAATTGTTTATTAAAAAAGAACGGTCAGTTTGCCAAGTTTGCGAATCGAAGCACGGAAAGAATCTATAACGTTTCGTCGAACTTAACGAAGTTGGAACAACGTGAAAAAGTTCAAATTCTCAGACAGTAAACCGGAAATCGATGGCTTGGTAGCAACGGCGGCTTCTACCGGCACATTTTCAAATTACGTTTCTGACTATAGCTGAACATCGACATCAGATATCAATTATTTTATTAATAAAATAAATAAGAACTCAATTTTATAAATTAAAAAATTAATACAAACGAACAGATTTAAAAAGATACGAAATACCCGAAATTGATTTGATCTAAAGTAAATTAAAATGCCTTTAATTAAGGAATTAAGGAGGGAAGGATAAATGAAATTAAATACCAGAAACTATAGAATCCCAAAGAAACGACGAAAATCTCTGGAAGTCTAAGTTTTCTTAGATTTCATCGTTTGCTGCTCAAGTGTAATAGATATAATATATTTCATGTAATAACGTAAACAAGATAGTGGTTTTGTACAAATATTCTTAAATATAAAAATCGAGCTTGTCTGGCCAGAATCGCGCGATTCGCTCGGCCCAATCTTCTTTTTTCACTAACCTTACGCTTATAGGGTCCACTCATTAGCAAACGATAATTAAAATAAGAAATCAATTAACTTAATTACAGAGACAGGCGATGGACAATATGCGGAATACATCGACCGAAGACGATCATCTTTTTCTCTCCTTTCATTCCCATTACGTGAAAATATGGTTTTTTAACGTTCCTCGTGCGAATAAATGCGAGGGAATACGTGTCGTGTATTTATGTGTGTGTGTTTCACGAGGACGAAAAATTCGAGTCAAGGTACTTTCGATTAGTTTGCTCCTTAAAATCTAACGTTTCGCTGTTTCCAAATCACTTATATCTATTTGTTTATCTCAATATCAATTGATCAACTCTCGGTCCGAATCGCCGCAAGCTTCGTCACACAAATTGTTTCGCCTATCTAAAAATTTGGTTTCGTTGGCTATGAGAATCGTACTTACACCCAATCGAATCGAAACCGATCGAAAGATGATTCAATGTCTCGCATTAGGAACACCGAAATTCTCTGAGACTCTGATCATTCGTATTACCCAGTTAACGGGACGATTTCGATGCGAATACCCTGAATCCGTTCGAGACGGTGAAGATCAAAAGGCACTGAATAACGACTAATTTGTAAAGAAAGAGAAACATTAATCCGAATATCTATTCTAATTTTAATAAAATATAATTCTCTAAAAACGATATCAATTGCTTGATAGAAAAAATATTTCTCCCTTATCACCCGATAAATTGACTTCCGTTTTTTAAGTCAGACGGAAATATCTTTAATCGATAAACATCGAAAATTAATTGCAGCAAAACTTTTATTCTTATCACGTTTTAATTAGGCCAAAAGCGTTTCGTGCTTATGAAGCACAGAAAATCAGTGCTTTTGGAAGTGCACCGCCTCGATCAACTATTATTTTCTTCGATGCCGACTGTTATCTATTATAATCGTATCCAGGGCTGGTGAACACCGTGGCCTTAAGCGTGATGGAGGACAGCGGACGATCGTTGGGCACGGAGTCATCCTGCGAGGTCCCGTTAACCTTGTGCCTCCACAGTTTGTGAAGCGTCAGCGAAGCCTTGGTATGATACGGGTGGCAAACCGTTTCCCTAGCGAAGGACTCGCTAGGACACAGGTGACAATTGAGCAATTTCTTACTGGCAACTTGAACTCGATACCTGTCCAACTCATCGATTCCTGCTGCCAGTTTATCAGCCACTGATTCCGTCACGCTGATTTCTTCTTCCTCCATTTCCCCTTCCTCCGTTCCTTGCTCGCTTTCCTCCTCCGAGGTCGAGTCGTCATCCTCGAACTGCTCGCTCCAATTGACCTTCCTCGGCTGACTCTGCTTCCTGGACCGTCTCCTGTTCGGCTTCCTCTGCAGCTCGGTCGCGGTCATTTCTTCGCAACTCGATCCGCTATTGGGTCGACACTCGGACGGTTCCCACTGGCCTTCGCTGGCTTCGGGATCGACTTTGTGTCTGTGCGTAAAATCACGATTAAGTACAGTGAGAGTAGTTGGGCCGCGGTTGGGTGATCGGAGGCCGCTGTATAGGTCGCGACCCCGTCTCTCGGTTATGTCACCGACGTGGTTGACACCGCGGCGGCGATGGTGACCGTCGTCGTGCCCGTGACCGGCCCTCTTCTCCTCCAGTGTCGGATACGCCATTGTCGCTGCAGTTGCAGGGATGATGTTTACCATCTCGTGGCTGCAACCACCGCGGCACTGTTCCATAAGTTACGTTCGCGTCATTTTTTTCTACCAGGCGACGGAAGACGTTTTTTTTTTTTCTTTTTTATAAAAACAGTATGACAGAGACAGTGAGGCAGCGAGAGACAACAGAAAGAGTGAAGCGCAGCGTGTCTCGGTAAGAGAGCACGAGAAAAAGCGGAACACAAACGAAGCGTGCACATGGCGCGAACTGAAAAAAAAAAACGTCTAACCAAAAAATGACGCTGCAACGTAACAAAAAATGGAGCGGAGGGCGAGGGCGGGTGACGAGAACGGTTTCAGCGGCAGCTTGTGATTCTCTTTATTTCAATTGATTTCTAGTTTCAAACTCGTTTTGTTTTGTTATTCAGTACTTGTACGATCAAAATCGATCGATGAGAATGAAAGAACTTTCGATCTTTATACATGGTCGCTTTCGCGAAATTCAACCTGCTGCTGAACGACAGTCACAACAAAATGAACGTAAGTGGAGCGTAAAAAAAATAACACATAAAGCGACATTGATAATTTTCCCTAAACAATTAATTGAACGTCACATCTAAAATTCATTAAGGAAACATAGGTTCCACTGAATCAAAATTAATAATAAATTCAAATCAATATCCTGCTAACCCCTTCGCCATTTATATGTTTAAATATTTTATATCTATCCCATTAAATTGAATTAATAATAATTAAATTCAAATTGTCCTTTGACAAAATGAATCAATTCATTATTAAATTAAATGATACATTTAATTCGTGGCGAGAGGGTACGCTGGATTGGAGGTAGAACGCTTTGTTTTAATTCTCAGTCAGGGCGAGCGAATGATGTTCCAATTTAAGAGCAAAGTTCACTGATCTTCATAGAACATTGGATAGTAAATGTGTACTATGTCCCAATTAATGACGGTTTTCTGGCAAATATTAAATATTATAAATATGAAATACAATCAGAAAACATTATCAACCAATTCTAGCACTCGCTATCAAAGAAAATCCTCTCAGTTGACACAGAAAGTCTAAACGAAACAAAATCGTTTTTAAATCATGAAGATATCTTAATCCGTTTCGGAGACATACGGTTCCAAAGTTTAGGCGCAGCGTTTCGTGTTGCATGGCACAATGACCTAGTTACGCGAATCAGCTGAGTCTAGACCGGTTGGTGGAGATTAGGGCAGGTCCGTGAGTCGTTCAACGTGCGAGAAGGACAACAATAGCGGCGCCGAAAAAGATTATGATTTTCTCCACACGACGGTACCTCGGGAACCGTAGGTCGTATCGAGATGAATCAAACGGGATTTTAAAGAGAGGACTTCGAATACGTATTAATGAAATACCGGTGTGTATCAGAAAAATGAATACCGCACACTTATGGTTCTTCAAGCGTTGCCTCTGCTTACATAATAATGTATTATGTATATAAAATTGTACATTTGAAATGAGCTTTTTAATTACTGACGTTTTATGCGGCAATTTTTGTAATCCACTATCCAGTGTTGTATAGAGATCAGTGACAAAGTTAGCTTCGCCGTGCGCCACAACGTGTGATTCGCAAAATAATGAAATAAAAAGACGAACAAATAGCGAGGACAATGCGTGATGCTTACCCGAGTATGGTAGTCGGCGGTATGACGGTGGTAGCAGGTGCTATTGCTGGTGCCGGGGCCGGAAAAACTGGCGGACCAGGTGGAGGTCGACCTCCTCCCGCGGGACTGTAAATTCGGTAATTAACCATAAATAAAGCTTTGCTTGTTAATCGAGCAAACTGGGAGCCAATTATCATTTTAAAAAGACTTCCGCAAAAATTTCACATTCGTATTTTCCCATCTCGCCAAATTTTCCCATTCCACGTAGCATTTATAAATGTAATAAAAGAAGAACAATCTCCACGTTAAAACTGCTTATTCACTTTGTCAATAGTTTAAGGATGTATTGGCTATTCAGCCAATCCCAAAAGTTTATGTGCCTTAGAAAAACGCATTTCCTATAATTAAAAAGAAATCAGACGTTGGAAGAATAATGCTAATAATAAATAGCTACGTGCTAAAA